GATAGAACATCCCCATTGTCTCAGTGTATGGGTGCACCCCTCGCGGTCCTGAGTTCCTTGCTTGTGCTCTCTCTCCTTCTGCTCCTGATTTGGACCTTGAGATTTCAGTCCGGTGCTCCAATGTGGGCCTCTGTTTCTGTCTCCTTTCATCGCCTGATGAAGGAAGGTTAATATTCAGGAGGATGCCTATATGATTTTCTTTGGGTTCTCCTTCTTATTTAGCTTCTCCAAGAACCCGAATTATAGGTTCAATGTCCTTTATTTATGGCTAGAAACCAAATATGAGTGAGAACATCCCATGTTCCTCTTTTTGGTTTTGATCCTGTAGTCGGAGTAAAACTTTGTTTACTGCTTTAAGACTGAGGATGATGCTGGAGTTCTTTCCTCTTGGAATAGAACAAAAAGGCTTAATAAAATCTTTATATATTATGGGATCAGAGTGCCCTGAATTTGCAGTTGGAGAGGCTGCTGTGTGAGAGTGAGCAGCTTGCACTCTAGCAGGGGTGTGTCAATAAGCCTTTGTCTCTACTCTGTCACCAGTCTCAATTTAGGATCGGAAGTAGACATATGTCTTACAGTTGCTTTGTGTTCATAGTCCTCTGGGAAATAGTGCTTTTAATGTAATTTCATCTCAGATATGTCAAAGTGAAAGTACATATCTCATTATAATTGTTTTTGAAGAAAGGTTTCTTGTATTCCAGACTGACCTTAAATTCCTTGTGTAGCTGAAGATGATTCTGAACTACTTACTTATCTGCTTACCTTCACTTCCCAGTCCACCACACCCTGCTCACATTTTGCTAACATTAGCATTTATATAAGTGACAATGAGTCCTCTTCTTATAATCAGTGCAGTAATGATAACAAAATAATATTAATCATTTCCTTAGTTGTCTCCTTAAATGCCTGAAAACTGTAGTCTCAATATTTGACACATGAATTTTTTTTCTCTATGTTTGAAACAAAATGCCTTCTCAAAAAATTCCATACCTAAGTCATCATTTGTGGGTCATCTGTAGTTTAGGAAAGTCTGAAATCACCTAGTCTGTTTCAGCCATTGGAGCTAAATCAGGATTGTAGAGTTGGTGTCTATACCCCCAAACATCTAAGGATAGTGGGATCTCTTAACTTGGGTCTGGCTTCTGCGTTTTACTCTGTTCGGTTTTTCTTGTTGGCTTTACTGTCAAATCCAACTTCTCTTTTTTCCATGTGACTCTTTACTCCCATCCATCTGTTTAACAGTTGCTATAAACATTTCTTTCACTGGAAGTGAGAGATGGATAGCATAGGTGAAGAATTTGGGGCCAAAGAACTCTGATTGGTGAGCTGTTCTCAAACTTTCTGCCCCTTGGTTCCTTCATGTGTAAAGTGAGATGCACAAGTGTGGAGTGAGCTCGTCTCTGTAGAGCAGTTACAACAGTGCCTGGCACACAGCAAACGTTATACGTAAAGACTTGTTATTTGCTGCCTGACATATTCTCGTATATATTAAAAGAAGCTATTATCAACTATGTGCTCCAGCATACTTTCTGTTACAGATCTTCCTATCAGTAATGTAGACACCAGCCTTGCTTACTACTGATCAACATTACTTGAATTTTGCTATATTTCTATAAAAGATCATTCTGTATATCTTGGTATATTAAGTAACAGTCACCATTTATGAATATCTTTAGTTTTTGTTATCTTTCCTACTAATTGTTTTGATAAAGTGTGTATGTTCTTTAAAGCACTTGATTCGTTATGTTAATGACTTAGTTTTTAGAACATTTAATTATAATAGGGAAAAATAAGATATCATCTTCTGTTTTCTAGGTAGAATTAGAATTTTGAAGCACTGTCTTGAAGACTCAAGACTGTAATTCTGGCTACTTGGGAAGTAGAAGCAGGAAATTTGTAGACGCAAGGCCTGCTTGGTCTACAAGGTAAGTCAGGCCAGCCAGCCTCAACAAGTTAGTGAGGAGATGCATCCAAGTAAAAGAAGGGATAGAGTCTGGGGCTGTATCTCAGTGCTAGGTGTTTGCCTGGCGTGCTCAGCACCCGGGTTTCAGATTTGAATGCTCAAGCTCTCGACCTCTGCTCTTAGCACAGCTAGGATATGGTAAGTTATATAACACGTGACAATGCATGACTAGATGAGGAAGGTCAGCGAGGCTACAGGTGACCATTAGCATCCTTGAGAATTTACAACAGTGGCTTTCAAGTATTCCTGTGCTTCAGAGTGACCAGGAGGACTTGTTAATGTCAAACACTGAGTCACATTCCCAAAGTATATGACTATATATCTTGGGTTTTCCCCCAAGAATGTACATTTTTATTTCAAAAGATTGCCATTTGATGCCGTTTTCAGCTTTTTGGAAATACAGTTGGATAATTTCTAGTTTAATGTGTTAGTATAGGTAGAGTGGACCTCTACAGATCTCCATCTAGCTCCACTTAGCTCATTACCAGACCTATAATTTAAGCATATAATTAAGCCATGACTCTTCCTTTCTTTTTCCATTTATTTTGTCTTTCGAATTTCTCTCCATTGTCCCCATCCTATTGCATATGCAGTGCATCTTCCTGCCTGCCGCCCTATGCGCGTTTCTGCTCTGATCCTCACTGCAGTCCTTTCTCACATCAGTGAGAGCAGTTTGAAAAATTCTGTGTCAGAGCGATCGTACTACTCTTTCTGCTTAAGACTGGTTAGTGGTTTCCTATTACTCTTGAAATAAAATCCAAACTTCCTTAAAACTTTGAATAACTTTTCTTGTCTCTTGTGTATCATTTTATATTTTTCATAGATCAGTTTTCTTTCAGTTTTGTCACACATGAATAGTCTTGTCTGCTTATAATTTTCTTACATTTTCTTTTGGAACCTAACATCAATGACCTTTCTCTTAGTGAAATCATTCCTGATATATCCAAAACAGATGAATCATTGTTTTTAATTACTTTATCATATTTTTCATTATAAAAATCACTTGATATATTTATGCTTTAATTTGCTTCCTTTGTGTATATACAGTAGTTGCTCCAGTAAACTATAAGCTTTATGAAGATGGAGACCGTGTTCACCATTGTATTCCTATGACTAAATGAACTTGGTCTATTATGCTTGAACCATAGCAGTAGTGTAATTAATATTTGTTGACTGAATTAATGAATGACTTGAAGACACTGTTGCCCAATTCACAGCTGTGTTTGGTAGCACATGCCTGTAATCTCAATTAGGAAGCTGTGGAAAGTGCATTACAAGTTCATTGCTAGTCGAGGCTATAACGATCAAGACCCTGAGAAAAGGCATTTTATTTTACAAAGAAAGTTGAAAAGACTGTACCGTACACATTCATACCTACGTAGCCTGGATTTAGCAATAAACATTTTCTTTCCATAGTAACTTTTCCTTTTCCTGCATGTACATACTGTATTAGTTAGGATTTGCTATTGCTGTGATAAAACACTATGACAAGTTGGGGAGGGAAGGGTTTTCTCAGCTTTCATTCCCACACCACAGTTCATCATCAAAGGAAGTCAGGATAGGAACTCAAGCAGGCCAGGAACCTGGAGGCAAGAGCTGATGCAGAGGCCATGGAACATTAAGATTCAGAGAAGACACATGCTCTAGAAATAATGCTATTTTAAAAATTTAAGATTATATTATGGGAATGCATGCCTGCAAAAGTGTGTGTGTGTGCACACATGTTCTAGTGGGAGGTGATTAAATTGTTTGTTAGTAATGGCTCTATATGATTTTGGTAGTTTCTGAAGTTACATTTTTAAAGATTTCAAGGAATGAGTGAGTTGTTTTGGTGTGCTCATTCTTATCTAAGGTGCTTTCCCCTTCCTAATGCGATTATAAGGTTGTTTTGAGATGCTGGTTATCTACATCATGAACTCAGTCACTTCAATGATGGTAACAGATGAAGATAACTGATTTGTGTCAGTGCATTCTGTGTATATGGAGACATTTTACAATAGAGCTCTTTCTGAATTGTTTTAAGAAATGCTGATCATGAAACTTTTTAAAATTCACCATCAGGCCAGTGGTGGCAGAGTCAACATTGAGCTATGCTTCGTGGTGTTCTTGGGAAGGTCTTTCGACTTGCTGGCTATACCATTCAATATGGCTGTATAGCTCATTGTGCTTTTGAATACGTTGGTGGTGTTGTAATGGTAAGTTTCTATATTCAGGAATTTTATTTTAAAACACAATTTTTTTTAACTGAACGAGACATGGATTTTTTAAAAAAAACTTTTGCTTGAAGTCATTTCATGAAAATTAAAACATAAAATCTTTCTAAATATTGGGATGTAAGAGAGAGTATGTTAGGAGCTAGGCATAGTAGCACACCTGTAATCTGGAAGCTGAGGCAGTGGACTGTGAGTTCAAGGATAGGCTGGGCTCCATACTGAGTTCCAAGTCCACCATGGGACACATAATAAGACTCTGTCACAAGTATCCCCCACCCCACAAAATAAAACAAGAAGCCGGGCGGTGGTGGCACACGCCTTTAATCCCAGCACTCGGGAGGCAGAGGCAGGCGGATCTCTGGGAGTTCGAGGCCAGCCTGGTCTAGAAGAGCTAGCTCCAGGACAGGAACGAAAAGCCTCAGAGAAACCCTGTCTCGAAAATCAAAAGAAAGAAAGGAAGGAAGGAAGGAAGGAAGGAAGGAAGGAAGGAAGGAAGGAAGGAAGGAAGAAAGAAAGAGAGAGAGAGAAAACAAGAATGTCTCAAAGTGATCAGGGCCAGTGAAATGTCTCAGCTGATCATGTGCTTGCTACCAAGTCTGATAACCAGGACCACCTGGTGGAAAGAGAACTGATTCTCTATGGCAAGTACAAACATATACACATATGCTCATGCATTCACGCAAACACATGTGCATGTGCATACACATGTGTGCACACACACACGCACGATGTAAATAATAAAAAGCAAGCAAACAAGCAAAAACAGTATGTTTGTATCAGCACCAGAATAAAATGTAAGAGCCATTGCATCCTTACTTTTATGTTATATTTAGCAGGACACAGTCTCTTGATAGCCTGTTTATAAGTAGTTATCATTTGAATGCTGTTTGTCTTTCTGTAATGTGGTTAATGCTGTAAACTTACTACCTTACATAGTCTGTTGCACTTGCGTGAGGAATTCATTATACTCAAGAAGAAACCCCTATACTCATAAAACTAACTCATTCCAGGTCCCACAGTTAGTGAGAGAGGTAGAATTTCAACATAAATTTTCTGATTCTAAAATCTAATCATAACTATCATGTTTGTCATTAAAGCAAATGATTATTCTGCTACGATTAGTAACAAAATGTTAAATACTGGTTCTTTCCCTAAGCAATGCTTTTCTCAATATCCCATCACAAATCTGAAAATTCAGAATTTTCAAATCTTTGTTAATGAGTGAAACGATATTTGACTGACTGGACAGCCAATAGGATTTTTTGGACTGTTGTTATTTTTTTATTTGTTCTACTGTAAAGGATTGGTAGTTATAATAACCCTTATTTGAGCTGAAGAGAAGGATGTAAGTGTATTTAGCTGACACTCCTTCTGTTAAGTCTTGACAATGACATTAGTACTTCTAGAAGTAGCACACCTTAACTTCATTGTTACTTATCATTTTATTTGAATGTTTATTATTTTGCCTAAGTAGGAAGTTTTGAGTAAAAGGTTGTATTTTCAGGTAGATGATAGAGTAGATGGAGACTGTTGTTTGTATGAAATGGAAATCAGTGTTTCAAAATTAGGCATATATCAAGATTTCTCTTTTCAGGCAGACAGACCCAAATAGCTTTAGTGTACATTTGATTGTGTTAGTAGTTTTCAGTTGAGAATGTCAGCTACAGCCCCGTCATACTGAGAAAGCATTTTTTGGACAAGGAAGAAGGATATCAATTCTCAGAAAATAAACAGGGTAATGTTGCTTTAAAAATTGCCACAACAGGCACTAAGTGATGTTTCAGAAAACCCAGGAAGTCCATCATTCATGCAACAAATATGTATCAAGCATTAACATTCTTCTTCTTTTTTAAAAAAATGTATTTATTTACTTATTATGTATACAATATTCTGTATTTACTTATTATATATACAATATTCTGTCTGCATGTATGCCTGCAGGGCAGAGGAGGGCACCAGACCTCATTACAGGTGGTTGTGAGCCACCATGTAGTTGCCGGGAATTGAACTCAGGACCTTTGGAAGAGCAGGCAATGCTCTTAACCACTGAGCCATCTCTCCAGCCCCCAACATTATTCTTCTTGAGAATGGAAACTTAGATAGCTGGAAGACTGAGACAAGGTCCTTGTACTCCAGTAGAGTTTAGGGTGGCCAAAAATTGAAAAAAGAGATGTGTTACTTTGTGTGTATCTTACAAAGCAACATCAAACAACTATAATATGGTCTGTTTTCAGGAAGAATATTTACCCAATTTCCTTTCTTTTATGTTTACCCAAATGGTTTCTGTTAAATTTAAAGAGATTTGAACTCAGAAGATTGCCTTTCTTTTCAGTGTTCTGGACCATCAATGGAACCCACAATTCAAAATTCAGATATTGTCTTTGCAGAAAATCTTAGCCGACATTTTTATGCTATCCAAAGGTAAATTTCTAAACTGAATGCAACTGTAGTGAAAGATATATAAAGTATATTCTTCTGTAACTTCTAACTTTGTGTTTTAGATCCTTTTATAAGTAATAAGTAGACAAAAGACTTCAATGGAATATTTCCTCTATGTTTGAGAGCGTTTCAATAGTCAACACATACAGTGTCTGTGGTCACTGTGTCTCTTTCCTTATCATCCAGGACAGTCAGCAGTCCTTCTTAAATAGATATGAAAGCCTTGTTCTCTTTTAGGTTCCTGAAGTGACTAAGTCTGGAGCAAGGGCCTTATGGCCTGTATTGCTACCACACTAGAGGTCTAGTTGTTTTGTACTTTTATTGATGACAGTCCTGTTTATTCTTTGTACAGAGACATGATAACTAGTCATTGATTTCTAGGCTATGGCTTGGTGTGTGCCTGGGATTGAATTTTGTCTGATGTGGTTCTCCAGATTAGTTAATTAATTATTAAGTTGAATAATTTCTTGGCAAATACAGTTTGCTACTAAATTTTCCAGAACCCTATTCCAAGTAGTGGTTCAAAACCTTGTGCTGCTGTTTATCTCAAGAGACACTGTGAGTTTGAGTTCCTTTTGAATAGATGTCAAATATTAGTAGCAGTTTGTTTTCTAAACTGTACCTCTCTAAAAACTGTTAGAGAATTAGAAAAAAATCTGTATCAGCTTTTATGTCAGTAAACTACAAGTAATTCCCACTAGTGGTATTTGGTGTAGAAAGGAGGGTTAGACACTCATTGTTTTTTGTTGTGGCCCATTTCCCAACTGGGAAAATGAAGAGCAGTATGGGCTGTTCTTTCCTTTGCCTGCACTCTCACCCACCCTTGATGCTGCTCACAAAACTCTCTTAATCGAGCTGTCTGACCTGCTAGGGTCCCCAGGACCTAGGGTCCCTAGCAGTTCTTTTAGTTGTAATAACCTGAAGAAACATACTTGTAGATTTGGGATTGTAAATTAAAATTTACACAACATTTACTTTTTGACTTTTACCAAAATAGCCTACGTTCAGCAAGTTAAGGTTCTTTGACAATTTGCTTTTGTGCTCTGTTCACTCAGGAGTCTCAATAGTGTATAGTGTGCCTTAGAATCTGGCACTCATGTGAAACACGGCAAAATCACTTTTAGAACCAAGGCAGGCAGCTGACACTGACTGCTGCTTTGAAAATATTGCTCCCCTCATTCTGTTTGCTGCAGCTTAGGTCTGAGTCAGTGCAATGAATTTCTGACCCTTATTGATGGCTGCTTATGTAGAAATGGAGACCAGGCTTCTGTTTTCTGTAAGAATAGAAGTCTGCTCGTGTTTTATGTAAAGTACACAAGCCTCTTGTCCTTTACCTTCAGGGATTTCTTTTACTTGAGACAATCAATCTCCTATTACTAAATCTTGCAACAAATAGCTAATGGGCATCTACTTTATAAGGTATGTCATAGATTTTAGCAGTGACACCATGCATGAGGCATTGGCATTTGAACAGCCCTCCTGATCTAGTAGGCTGAAAGGATGTTTATGACTATATATTTAATTTTAATAATTGTGGATTGCGTTTTGGGTGGGCTACTCAGTCTAGGGGTTGTAACCCACCCTGCAATCCAGTTACTCCAGGGTCTCGGAGGAGCGCTACCTGGAAGGGAATGAGCTAAGACAGAAGAAGGAGGCCAAGCAGTTTTGTCAAAGCCTCCGTTTATTAGGGTCATGGTTGCTGCTTATATAGGGTAAGGAATGGGGGGGCAGGGCAAGGGATCTCGCCGCGTGGTTCCGGTCACGAAGCTCGGTGAGGCAGGCCAGAAGTCACAAGTTGCCACACCTGGTTCCCTGGATAGCTGGAATGTGAGGCGGGTTCCGCTAATTGATAAGTTAATTGGGTGTGGGGTTCTCTGCAGATTCCCCAGGGTGATGGTTCCTGTAATGACTGAGGGGAAATGGCTCCTGACAAATAATTTGCTTTTGAAATTTTTGTGATAGAGTAGCCTATGCTAGCCCAAAGCTTACTATCTCATCCAGACTGGATTCACATTTGTAGTGATCCTCTTGGCTCAGCCTCCCATGTTCTGGGAATCGCAAAGCATGGCATCAACAATAGCTATAGTGGGAAAAAAAATTTCACGTTCTGGTTCTGTTAGTTAGTAGATTTTAAAAGTCCCTTTAAAGGAGGCAGGAGTTGAAAGAGTATCTAGTGAGGTGCAGACTTTGTTTTAAGGGTTATATTGACTGTTGTATCAAATAGCATAAGCTGCATAGCACCTTTGAAAATGATTTCTTTCAGAGACACACTAGATCAGTTTTCATAGCTTAAAAGTCTGCAAAATTTTTCATGTGAACCGCTCCACTGACATTTAGAGAACTAATGACTTGATAACATTGAGCTTTAGAAAGAGAGGCCTCATGGTGTGGTTGTTGTCAATACTATTTTCTCTGTTGTCTGTAAAATTCTGATAAAATAATGTCTTTCTTTAGCATAAAAATCTGCCTATGAATTCCTTCTTGATTTTAGCTGTTAGGGAAAATTTCGTCTTACCTTCTCCTAAACCTAATTTTATTAATGGTAACTAATTCATTTCCTCTTTTGTCCTTTTCTGGTTGCTGGGGACCACACCTGGGGCCTCCTGTATGCCAGACAAGCCACTCTACATTGAACAATATCCACCGCTCTCTCATTTGGGGTGGGGCTACCAAGATGCTTAGAAGTTGTTGAGTGCTTGCAGTAGAGCAGTAATTATGCTTCTTTATTTTTTTTTCTACTTTAGTTTATTGTATTTGTAGCCCAAATTCACCTTCACCTTACTACATTGCCCAAGTTGGGCTCAAACATCCCTCAGTCTCCTAAATGCTGGCATAATAGGCATTTGCTTTGGCTAGCCCAATGATTAGGTTTTTTAATTATAAGCTTCCCTTTATTGCTATAGATTTTATGCTATTTTGACATTTGTATCTTTCATTATAAATGATATGAAAGTATATAAATTATATCTGGAATCACATACAGTTAGTAAATATGTTAAATACTAAAAAATGTTATACGATTCATATAGCAGAAAAAAACATTACATTCTGTTTGGTTGGGATATTAGTCATCCAGCCCTCGCCTCCCAACCCCATGGGTGTGTTAGATATGCAGGGATGGCTGTTTTGAAACATAGGTTCATTGTGTAGCTCTGATTCACTTTGAATTTACTTTGTAGTTTATACCAGCCTCCAAATTATGGTTTTTCCCTTCTTGATTTTTGGGGTTATAGGCATACACCACCATGTTGGGAATAAAACCTTTATTTATTCATTGATTTTGCTATCACCATGTAGAATATTACTTCTTACGTGACTAAGGCCTTAAATAAGTAGGAAAACTAATATTTTATATATTTAACAACATATCCTATTTTATAGCTTTTAGTGTTTTATTTGGTTGTGTCCAATTTTCCCTCAAATATAAGTCTATACTGTATATTATGACTTGAATTATATAGCTTACATAGTATTCTTTAATTTTGAACTTTTGAGAAATAGATGATGTTTCTCCAGTTTTAGTGCTCTAGAGTCAACTATTAATAGCTTTATTTGTAATTATTTGGACACAGAAATAACACATAGTGGTTATAATTCTGATGAGGTTATTAGAAATTATCAATAATTTTATATGGAATTTTTATGATTTCAATAATAGTTTTCAAATATGATTAATGTATGGCAGGGTCAATATATGTTAGGATAAAGTGTGTGTGTGTGTGTGTGTGTGTGTGTATTTCTTTAAGTTGCCTTATGAAATTATTAAAGCTGTCCTGTGTGTGCTTGGGAATAATACTGATACTTCTTTTCCTTTTTTCCCCTTTCAGAGGTGACATTGTAATTGCAAAAAGTCCAAGTGATCCAAAATCAAATATTTGTAAAAGAGTAATTGGTTTGGAAGGAGATAAAATCCTCACTACCAGTTCATCAGATATCTTTAAAAGCCATAATTATGTAAGTAATATTTCAGTTATGTCATTCTTTGATATAATGGTTGATTAATATTAGCTAATTACACTGAGAAAACAATCTTGCAGAATTTGTATTTGGTTGGAGAGATGGTCCAGCGGTTAAGGACACATACTGTTGTTCAAGAGGACTCAAATGTGAGCCCTAGCACCCAAATTAGGTGACACATAATTCCAGTTCTAGCAGGACCCGACACCTTTGTCCTCTACAGACACAGACACTCACACTTACATAGTCACATACCCACACATATATACATAATTAAAAATAATAACTCGTTTATACATTTGTATTAATATATATTAATTGTATAATTTATAGTGGGTTTCATTGTAATCTCTTCATACATGTATACAATACACTTTGATGGTATTCACCCCTCATTACTCCTGCCTAATTTATCTTTTCTAGATTTTCCGACTAATTTATCTTTTCTTGCCTTTGAGTTCCCCTTCTACTTTCTTGTTTGTTTTTGTTGTTGGTAGTGGTCATCCAATGAATTTCCTTATGGTTGCTTATAAGAGCACGGGTAGATGAGAAGTTATTTACTCCACCAGTGGCTACCACTAGAGAAAATGTTTCTTCCCACTACCATTCCATGAACCATTAACTGCCAATAACTCTTCAGGCAGGATTGGGCATTGTGAAATCCTCCCCACTTCATGACAGGGTATCAGTAAACCCAATTTTGAGCAGGTCTCATCAGGTAATCATAACTTTCATGAGTTCACATGGGAATAGCCCTTGATACCCAGAAAAGTGTTCCATAGCACTCTACCCCATCCTCTGGCTCTCTTGTTCTTGATGCCCTCTATTCCATGATGTTTCCCGAGTCTTGGAGGGGATGATGTAGATGTCTCGTTTATGGTTGAACATTCAACGTTCACTTATTCTCAATGCTTTGGCCAGCTGTGACTCTCTCCAGTATCTGGTCCTCACTGAGACAAAAAGCATCTCTGAGCAGAGCTGACTGCATGATCAAAAGCAAGTTGGGAAGAAAGGGATTATTTCAGCTCACAACCCAGGTCATCTCCATCACTGAGGGAAGTCAGGGCAGGACCTGAGTCAGGGAGCACTGCTTACTGACCTGCTCCTCATGACTTGTTCACCCTGCTTTCTTGTTTAGAACTACCTGCCCAGGGTGGGCACTGCCCACAGTGAACTGGGCCCTCCCACAGCAGTCAGTCAAGGAAATGCCCAGAAAACTTGCCTATAGAGTCTTACTGAGGTACTCTCTCTCAGTAGAGAGTCCTCCATCTTGTATTAAGTTGACATAAAACTAATCAACATGGGCATAGGCATGATTATTTTGAAGACAAGCAAACAAAAATTTTAGAGGTAATTGTGATAGGCATATCATGTCCATTTAGCACAATAACAGCTGTAGCTTCCCCTTAAAAGTCATGGGCTTTTAGTCAGGTGGACAGCACCTGAAGTGAATTCTGTCCTGCAGAACAGAGCTCAAATCCAGTTAGAAAGCACTTGGCTGCTTCCACACCAAACTTGCCATGAATATGCCAATGGTTACAATGCTTGGCCAGTCAGCATTGTTGTGGGAAAAAGAAACTTTCTTTGTATTTTGAATTAAGAAAAAAATTTCCAACAAATAGAGTTTAAATATATCAAAAACATCATTTTTTTTCTAAAATCCTATAGAATCACCTCAGTTTGAAGAGAAACTGTATATTTACATAGTATTAAAGTGTCTGTTTGAAGATACTCATTACATAAGAAATAGTAGTAATATATAGCAATATATGTTAAAAATCCTCATGAAGGAAACCTGTCAGATACTACCTTCACCAGTGGTCAAGGTGAACCTTCGTCTGTATCAAGAAACACCAATATGATGTAGATGGAAGCACAAAGAAGGACACCTGACTCTTATGACACTATCAAACAATAACAACAAAGCAACTTAATTCTAATCAAGAGAAAAATCAAAATGTGCATTGAGATCATTCAAGGATACCGCTGATTATGTATCAAAAATGTTATCATAGATGTGGTTGCATGTGTACGTGATCCCAGCACTGGAGAGGCTGAACAGGAGGCTCTCCAGTCTAAGTTCCTTGTGACCCTGAAACTACATAGCAGGACCCTACCTTACAGTAGTCAGAAGGGGTAGTAACAGGAGGTCAAGGTCATATAAAACCAAGAACAGCAGGGTTACTCTCTTAGACAAGAGGGGCTGAGGAGACAGAGGCTTAAAAGCAGCATAATGTCCTTTGTCTCCTGGGCAAATAGGCTGTCCAGGATGCCTTCGAGTTTCCAGTCCTGCTGACAGGCTTTACAGGCATGGATTCTTGCTCTAGAAAGTTCTTTTGTTTATCCAGGCAGCATACCTTTAATCCCAGCACTCAGGAGGCAGAGACAGGTGGATCTCTGTGAGTTTGAGGCCTGTCTGGTGTACAAGAGCTAGCCCCAGGATAGCTAGGACTATTACACAGAGAAACTCTGTTTTGGGGGGAAAAAAAAGAAAAGAAAAAGACAGTTCTTCCTTTTATTAATAAATAAAATGCAGCAAAATTAAATGAAGTCCTAGCTTAGTCTTTTTAATTCTTTAAAAATTGTTAATAGAAATTGCATGCAATCAACTTCTTCCCACATAGTAAAGTGTAGAAGGTGTAGAATTGAAGATTAACAAGCAGATGTACTGTGTTAGTTCTTCCCCCAGTCATATGGTTGTTATCACACAGCTTCTGATAAAAGATGTGATGGCCCCATTTTATACTCAGCATATACTCTGCTTTGGTAACTAGAGCTTAATTTTCTACTTTAAATTTTGTGTGTTCCTATCAAATTACACAATTGTCATGTCTGTTCAAACCAGCTTTACATCTATTCATGCCTTATGTAAGCTAATAATTGAAGTTCATCTTCATCATTGTTTCTTCATTTTGAACCATGATAGCTTGATTACTCTATTGAGAGAGCTTGCCCAATAGTCTATTAGTCCATTATTTACCATTGATAGTGGAGTCTGGCTCAGCCATGTAAAGGATTTTTGACATATATTGCTATAGACCTAGACACAGAGTAATTGTTAGCTGATAGGGATGACGTGAAGATGATAGCCTGGTATCAGGTAATTCGTTTTTCTGCTGTGGCTTTCTTTATGAACATTGTATCCTTTTATTCTTCAAAATTGTCAATATGTCATATACTTTTATCCTCACATGTCTATTCTCATACCATGAGACATTCTAGTGATATCTGAATTGTTTTAGCAAAAGAATCTACTTCAGATCAGAAAGAGTTTTGTCAAGAGACAGAACAAAAAAGGCATCCTTATTATGTTCATAAATACCTCAATTTATATATGCTGGTTTCTTTGTTAAAGTCACTAGAATATGAATATCAGGGCTAAAAGGTTTAGATCAAAATCCCTGTTCTGAGTAATCAGTGGAGACAACCAGAAAATTATAACCTGTGAAGTTTTTGAATATTCTGTTTAAGTAAAATGTTTATCAAAATTTTATATGTCCAATGAATGAACAAGTTAGAAGGCATTTTCCCCCAGGAGTGTTCCATTGACTTTGATGTTTCTAATCTAAGTGCAGGGCAGAAGGCTGAAATGCTGTAAGAACATTTGTTCTGTTCTTACTAAGTATTGCTGAAGCGCTATAGAAGGACAAACTTATTTACTCACTGCAATTGCAACCCAATGAAGTAGGTAGTAGCAATATTCGTCTGATAGGAAAATTATGGCAATTATAGGTAGTAGCAGTGTTTGTCTGATAGGAGAACTATACAACTGGTAGGCTAAGTAGATCACCTATTTCAGACAGGTGTTGTGTTTCAAACACCAGGAGCCTGTCTCAAGATACACACTTCCTTCCAAGTCATTACATCTCACAGAATAGACTCTACTTAACTATTATTTCAACTCCCATCTCATTAAATTCTTCTTTTTCATAAATGTGTTTATCTTTGCTATTTTAACAAAGGAAAGGAATTATTTATGATCAGGAACAGTATTAGTTCTCCAAGAGAAGCTAAGTTTTTTTTTTTTATTGTTTTTAGAATTTATTTTATTTTTATTTTTACTTATGTGTCTGTGTGTGATTGTGTGCTATGTGCTTAAGGGTCTAGAGGAGGTCAGAAGGAGTTGGGTCCTCTGGACCTAGAGTTACAAGTGCTTGTGAGTTGCTTACTATGGGTGCTGAGTACCAAACTTTTTTTTTATTTTAAGAGCTATAAGCATTCTTAAACACCGGACCATCTTTCCAGCTCCATAATCCAGTATTTTTGAGGGTTTTCTCCTTGCCAGGTTTTTCAGGCTCAGTTTTTTTATACCCCAAGAATTTGCAGTTATTTCAGACCCAATTTAGCAAATGTGTTTCATTCATCGGGTGATTTGTAACAAAAATTCATACATGTTTCAGAATATTCTAGAAACATACCTGAAACTGTTCGTGAAGTCTGCCCTCCTAGAACAATAGTTTTCATTGGGCAGCAAAACCTTTTATTCTGTTACATTGGTGATTCAGATGGCAAAACAGGAGATTGTCACTGGAGTCTAGACTTTACTATGTAGCCTGCAAAAGAAGTAGTATTGTTTGTAAGTTTGACAAAAATTAGTATAAGCAAATCTTTGGTTAGATTATATGGACCCAATTTATTTTTTTAGAGTTGTAAAGGACTGTTGAACTTTCTAGCTAGGGTATTTTATTTTTGAGAAAGGGCCGCTCGTGACTCAGCATGGCCTCTCTCAGCAGAGCTTGGCCAGGAATTCTTGTTCTTCCTGCCTTCACTTTCAGATTTTTGTCAAACACAACCTCTTTTCTGAACTTAAGAATCTTGTTTATTTAATATCTCCACATAAATAGATATTGTTTATCTCAATCTTAGTATTTTCAAAACTAAAATCCTTATTGTGTGGCCCAGTACTCAATAGTTGCTGCCCTCTACATCTTAGCTGTTGTAAACATCCAATTATCTGCGAGTCATAAGTTTTGGACTCATCTTTGAGTCTTCCTCTT